GTAGCTCTGGTGGTCAGATTATTCATCCTGAAAAGGAATTTTTATAAGAAAAGTCTGCTTGCTATTTAGATGTGTATATGACCATTCCATGATATCTAATGATGTTTGCGGTATTCTCGGAGCGCCGTTTTTGATACAATAAGGCCCATAGTATGGGGCTAGAACCGTAGTAACTACGTACTTCTTCTAGAAACTTCTGCAGAAGGTCTTCCTGATTAACTATCAGTTTCGAAAATATTAGTCATGCAGGTCCTTCTTCTGAAATCAGTGAATGATGAGAATGAAGAATGTCGTTATCAAAATGAACTCCAGCTTTCTGGTATTGATTGCGCGGTCATAAATTCTCTGGAATTTGATCTAAATGTTGTAGCCTTGCAAGTCATGCTCGAAAATAATGAAAATTTGGAAGCATTCATGTTCACGAGCAAAGTAGCTGTGAAAGTATTCGGTGATCTGACAAATATGAATGAACGTTGGCTTGATTTACCTTGCTTTTCTGTGGGTAGAGGCACAGGAGATAAACTAAGATACTTAGGTTTCACAGATATTCGCGGCGAGGAGAGTGGAAACCTTAACGATCTTTTAGCCTTTGTGAGCAGTGATCTCCAACAGGGAAGTCATGTGCTATGGCCTTGCGGAAGTTTAAGTAAATTAGACGTATCATGTGAAAATATTACTTTAATGCCTGTAATTTGTTACTCTACTAAGAAAACTAGCGGTTTTGATAATCAGTTGGATGAGGTGTTTTCACAAAAGAAGATTGAAATTACGATTCCTTTTAGTCCATCAATATGTACGGCTCTGCAAGACTGGATTTACAAATCGGCGATCACTTCAAAATTACCGGTTGTTGCTATGGGACCTACCACCGCAGCGAAAGTGAAAGAGCTAGCCAATTTGGAACTTGTCGGTGTTGCAGCGAAACCTTCGCCTGTAGATTTAGTTAATTGCTTAAAAAGTTTTAGTAAATGAGACTAGTTAGCTTTCATTTTTTTACAAGTAGACCACACTGTTCATGTTCATTTATCTTATCATATTTTGATATTTCAGATCAATTTAATTATGGCTAAAGAAGTTTTATCTTCACTGCCATTGCAGATTCTTTTCTACTTCAACTCCTGGTATTTTGCTGCTTACTTTACGGCAGAATGTCTCACCTTCATTTATAAAGGTTTGTGCTGAATTTTCCAAAGATAAATAGGAATTGTAATCTCGGTAAAATGTTAATAAAAGTGGTTTGTTTCAGCGGAAACACTTCCATACGAGCGCTCTAACCTAACTCAGGAAATCATTCTGCTTTTGTTGCTTGCAACTATTGAATTCTTCAGACAGTCATTTGGTAAGACAATCTGATTATATTCCATTCTTGTAAAAGTGATGCAATATAATTTCTGAACACTTTCAATTAAGAAATATTATCAATACGATATTTTGGCACGGGTTTTTTGGCTTATTTTTGTCAAAAATAAGCAAAAAAAGTAAGTTTTTAACAGATTTCAACTTTTTTATTTTTTTTTTCTGACGAATAGGGGTGATCAGGAATATGTATGACTTGAATAAAACTCTAGCGCTTTGCTGAGCGGCTGAAATTTATTAAGACTAATTCATGAAAAATTGATGAAAATCTCCGTAAGTTGGAATAATTTTTGTTCGTTAGAACATTAAAATCACCAACGAGTCTTATTTTTTCTTGAGTAAACTTGATAACCGTTGAAAGAAAATATCACTAAAATCCTCGTTATTGGTATCAATTGGTCTATAAAGAGTAATGCGATCAACCGTACAATCTCCCCCACTAAGTGACCAACCGTAGAATTTCCCCTAACCACGTATTAAATTTGAAATTTAATTATGTATAATGTATGCATTTCGATCAAATGCGAACATAAAACAGGTTGTCACAACTTATATGTGGGATTGCATTTGAAAGCTGTTAATAACCTATTCAAACGTATTTTAATCAGTTTTCTATAAATAAACTTAATTTTCGATCAATCTAAGGTATACTCAAAGTTATTTCCTGAAAAATTCATATTATCTCCCCCCCCCTAAATCAATCCCCCCTTTTTAGTTGATCCGAATAACGACTCTAATATCCATTGCAATTTTTGAACCGTGTTGAACCAGAAATTGACGAAAGAATTTTATTTCTGTGCCAGGAGAGTGAATATCAGAGCAGATACAGTTTATGATCACATGCCAAAAATAAGTATGTGTAGAACAAATTTAGTTGGCATGTGGTTTCAGTGATTTTTGCGTATTCTGAATTCTCAGCCAGACTTTTTGCGTCAAATGGCCTCAGGTTATGGTAATTTTTGTAGTGTTATCTTAGTTTGTCGATTTGGGTTTTTTGAAATGTTAACCGTTTTTCGGAAACTTTTGACTTTTTGCGAAAAATATGATTTGAATAGTTTAATCGAAACAACAGCTTGTGGAAAGTTTCTCTGCATAAAGGAAATCTTAGGAATCGAAAACTTGAGAAAAAAATTTGAAAAATTATTTTAAATAAATTTATTTTTTTTTGAATTTGTTTTTGTTAATTGTCCTCAAAAATTGTTATCCAGTTTGCATATTTTACATGACTGACGAAAATGTCTCAGCTCTACTTTTTGGCTCAGATTCCTTTATCACACCAAGCCGAAAAAACTAAACTAATTGGAAAAATATATTTGTTGTAATTTTTTGAGACTGGTCGGAAAATTCTCTGCTTTTTGTACAGTAACCGGCTATCCTTGTTTTGGTTTCGGCATTGTTTCCAAAGCTTGTTGCCTGATTCTGTTTATACTTCGAAGAGATGTTGAGTAACTGGTATTATCGGCGCTGCATAAAGAGGCAAGTCATTTTGGGCGTTCAAGATACTCTGTCGGGGAGCATTGTGGCTTTTTCTCGAACTTCGTTAGCAAACTTCCTAGCTTGGTTCTTTAAGGGGCTCAGTAAATGAGCGTGCTCAGTTTTTAAGGTGTGAATTCTTGCTGTTCGTTCAAATAACCCACTGCTCTGCAATTTCCGAATGTACATTGCGATTTAATGAAGCCGTTCTTAAGTTGGTTTTTTTCACGGTATCTAAAACCATGTAAACACAGATGCTTTTTTTCCGCGTTCAGATCATACGAATTCCATTTTATACTTCAGTTTTTGCTATAAGTGAATGAATGAGGATTCAGATACAAATCAACCAATTGTTCAAGGTAGTTACTAATGAAGATTAATCAATGTTAATTGTGTAAATAGACCAACTAGCGATTAAAAGAAGGCGTTAATTTCGGTACTGGTTTCTGGTTGGACAATATTTTAATCTCAATTAGTTTATCTTTTAAAGAAGTTTAAGTTTCAAAATAGTTTCAACCAACTACCCAAATTACCTGATAGGCGGTTGCACCCTCCCTCGCCTAAGGCTTGATAAGAATATCAGCATTACTGTGTGGCCAGTACGTAGTAGGGGTGGTCAACCTTTCAACTGATATCCTCTTTGACCGCCTGTTAAGTTCTCAATTTTGGGTCTGCTTTCGTCTAAATTGGTTTAGTTTTAAGAATTGTGCAGTTTTTTGTTGATTTCGATTTTCATTTAGCCATTATTCTAAAATTGGAAACAATGATTTTCATACAGTTTTATTATGTTTAGTTACTTTTGGTTCTGTTAATTTTATTTGTTCTATATGCATTTGAAAGGAGTTAGTTATAAGTCGTCTATTTAATGCTTTGATGTTTTGCCGCATGCGAAAAGTTTTTGCGCTCATGTTTTAGAACTGTCTGAATAGTATTTGGCCGAATTTTCGGAACGCGATCTATCGTAAGGGTGAAACTTAGAAATTTATTCGATGCGTATGCCGTCGTTTCAGGCAAGCGAGGGAACTTGACTGAGCGCAAGTGGCCTGTTCTGGTGTCAATTCTGTTGGGATTGGGATGTATAGTGTGCATACTCTACTTTGTACTTTGGCAGACATATGTCCTCAAGTATGAACTCATCATATCTGTCATCCAGTTGGCCTTTATTGTAGTTCAGATTGTATTCTCCATCTTCGCTTTCATATCTTTTGCCAGGTAATTAAAGCAATAATCTACTGACAGTTTACACTTTTTTAATTAAGTAGCCTATTTCGCGCTCATAGTTTTAAACACCAAGTCCTGAAAAGAAAGTGGGGCGAAATGTAACGATTGCTTGATTGAATGAGTTAAGGTAATGAGTTATCTTGGAGTGCATTGATTCAAATTTATGGTGGGATATTTTAAGTATAAGTAATAAAATTATAAGTAGGGTTCAGTACAAGCAAGAGTGCCGAAAAAGAAATGTCCAATAGTGCCGAAAGTTTTTTAAACCAGATTTTACAAGGAAGCAAGAAAACTAATTGTTGCTTGAATCAATAAAATCAATCTGTTGTCCTAAATTAGCGTCATAAGTTTTTTGAAGTATACAATTGCTAGAGCAGTTAAAAAATTTTCTCCATAACTCAAGCAAATCCGAACTTAAACCTATTAGAAAGGTGGATTAATAATTCAAAGACAGTTAGTTCATTTACGGCTTTCTGAAACTCTTTAGCTTTCGATACTCTTGTACTTCGGCACTCTTGAACACCCTCATAAAAAGGCTTTGGCAATCTTTTTATTTTGAATTTCAATTTTTCCCAAATACAGCCGGAACCGATTAACTGATAAACCGATAAAATAATAAACTGCTTGTTTCAGACATGAAAGCTGATCATAATGTCGTTCGTGGATCGGTTAAGATTGATGTTCTCAGTTCAGAGTAGTTGTGTAAATACTTGTTAATAATATAATTTGTACATACGTAAATATTGTTAATACTTAATTAGGAGTCAATTTGAAATTGAGAAATATTATATTTTGAAGTTAAATGCAAGTTGAACAAATTAGCCAGGATTTGATTTAGAGATGATTTCATATGTTTTTTTTTACTGAGTCATGCCTTCTGAAACGTTTTAGTAATGCTAGAATATCAGAATTTTTCTTGCGAATCTCCTCAATCCGAAATTTTTATAGATAGTCATGAGCTGCAAGAATTTTTGATTAAGATGTAGTTAATGACAACTCAGAATATTTCGCCTGCGAACATACGATGACGTTATTTTTACATTGTCATGAGTTGATCTGTGTGATGACATGAACGGCACCAAAGGTCGTTTCGAAGTGTCATTTCCGCTGTCAATTTCAGTCGACCCAAGAACACTACGTGAACAAGCTAGGCAACCGACTGAAGAAACTGCCAATGTGTTGGTATACACTCACAAACCAAGATATCAAAATATTGACGTCACGCTTAGAAAAGGTGAAAGAACCAAGGCTAAACAGAGTTTGAATTGGACCGCGAATTATAATGAAGCACTTTCTACTAGTGTCCGAGAACAGAAAAAGTCCACCAAAAGTCCGAACAGTCATCGTAAATTGAACCTCGATTCAATATGCAAAACAGATCGATTGAGTTCTGATGCTTGTAAAAGTGATATAAGAACCATTCGAGCTTTCGATGATGCGTTTTTAAACGAAATATTCTCTGTGCATTCAGAAAGAGATCAGCTGAAGTCTTTTTCGTTGGGCGAAAATTTAAACCGAGCGGGCTATGAGAAGATAAAACGGGATAGTGTGCATGTAGCTCAGACTGGGGACAGTCCAGTTATTTTAAAAGGGAAAGTTTATCACCCGTTTGGAGAGAATGAGGGTTCTAAGAGTGAGCCTAGTAGGCTGAGAGCCAAACAGGGGAGAAGTGGAGTAATTTCGGGTGGGATTGATTTCACACGGAGTGCATACAGGTACACGAGGAGCTGGAAGAAAAGACACAAGTTGTGTAAGTGAAAGATTTCATATTCAGCTTAATTTTGTTTGGAAGGCTCTCAACGCGTTGTAAACTTAACTATTCAATATTTAAAATATATTAGTGAAAGATCTGTTATGACAGTATAGATTTTTTCACGAATATTTTCACTGATGATCTAAGAGTTTCTTTGAGTTATGCCATATGTGGAAACTTGATTTTTTAGTGAGCAAATGCGCGACAGATGATGAGCCCACTTGTCTCGGAGATCACCATGTTCCGATCCGAACTCTCCCGAATGAAACCGCAGCGGCTGCTGCCAGTGCATGTACAGCTAGAAATGTTCTAGAATGTCTGCGTCCCATGAATTTAGAGACAGAGAAGATGAAATTCTTTGCTAGGGACTATGACTATAACCCTCAATTTAAGTATGTGAAACCTCTTAGTGTGGATTTTCTGGCTCAGTTCAAACAGCCGAGTGTGAAATACCTTCAGCCGGTTAGTAGTTGCGTTCATCTTTAAAGAATGTGTCGAGAAATAAATTAAGTGACTTTTTAAGTTGGACTTTGTTTATGATTTCGTGGTCTGTAAAAATAGTTTCTCCTTGATAGTTGGTCAGACAGTGTATTATAATAGTTTTGAGGGTAATTTTGAATTTCATTTTCAGATCTCCTTGGTGTAAGCTCTGTGAACAAACCGCTAACTTGATTGATATTTCATGCTTGTCCGTTGTCAATTCATAGACTGATTGTCAAGTTAATGTAGGGTATATTCAAATCAATTGTTTTGAAGCATTGTTATTGCTACTAACTGTTTCATGGCGTTTTCTGATTGTTTTGGGCTCTCTCTCTCTCTCTCTCTCTCTTACTCCCCTTCCCGCATTTTTCATTTCGAAAATTTTTGCACGCAATTATGGCAAACTAATTGATTTTTCCTATGAGGTATGACAAAATGTGTTCAAAATTTATAAATTGTTCATCATGTAAAATTTCATAACGCTATGACAGCATTAAATTGGATTTAATTGAAATTGAAATGCGGAGTGGGGGTGAGGTGGTGGAAAATAGGCCTGTTTTGTTGCTGGTGTCTTGTTAGTTCAGTTTCTGTGATATTTTTTAGGCGCTGACTATTATGCGCAATCTGATCAAGAGGTATGGGTCCTATGAGAGGTACGAGGAGCTTACAGGAGGCAGAGTTCTGCAGCCACAGGAAATCCGGGCACTGGTGAGAAAATGTATAATTGTATTTCCTGAAATAAATTTCTCGCGGGCGCTTTTATCAACTGTTGTCCATACTGCAAAGAGGCCTACATTGAAAGGCTCTAAATTTGTACGACGTTAAATGTTAAATTAGTTCCTAATAGCTTTGGAAATTTTTGCTTGGTATCATAGGGGATTGTAAGACTTTTTTTTCTGCTTTGTAAGATTACCCTTCGCTTCTGAAAGCAAGCAAATGAAAACTTAATTTTGGGGACCCCTTAGTAGAAGATAGATTTTGTCTCTCAGGTGACAGACTATGTGCAACGCGAAGGTTTCGACGACGGGGAGATCCTTCTGAACCTCTCAACCACCATCCTCTCTTCAGCCATGATGAGCAGAACAGGGCAGCATGGGATTCTCACTGTCAAGCTGGGGGAGGTGCATGAGAGTTGGATCGAAGGCATGCTCAGACACGAACTCAGTAAGTGTAATAACGGGGGGTGGGGTGATCTCATGTTTGAAGAACGAAAATTTAAACCAATGAACTAATTCAAAACTGCCCAGAACTGAAAGATTTTCATGCTTGTATTTGAATTCTGATTGGCTAACATAGTTTTCGGGAATGAGGGACTCCCCCTAGATGCAATTCATCAGCCAAAAATGGAGATTAAACCTTTACAGAAGTTTCAACTAGTATCGACGGGCAGTTTTCAAGTGGCAAGGTTGGATCACTAATGCTTATGTTTTGTCGACTATGTTGCCAAATCACTGATAATTCTTGTGCCGTAAGCAATTTTCATTGTAATTGCAAGTGCTGTTGGTTTATTCCTGTAATTTGTAAATTAACTAACCCTGACTTAATATTTTTTCTTCTCTTTTTTTCGCTTAAAAGCTTTTCAAAATTGTGTCGTCTTAAATGTTATCAGAATAGTCAATTATTTTTGTGTAGTTTAAAGGGCAAAAATTGATTATTCGTTGAAAGAATAGCTTAGATCGTTGTGGTTCAGGTCGGTCGAAAAAATAATAATTTAGGTCGCTTATGGTGTATTTTTGTGCTAGTTTTTCTGTTGTTTTTTTTGTCTTTGACTAAATGGGAGTCTACCCACGCAGTGTCGGCTTAGTGATCGCTCGGTAAATACTGCAAGCTTATTTATTGGTGGTGGTGGTGGCGTGTTTATCGTCCTTCTTCTGAACTGGAATTTTTTCGAGTAATGAACGTAGTTTTTACTCTTATAGAGGTCTTGCTGATTTTTTTTTTTTTTTTTTTTTTTTTCAGGAAAAAGTATTGAAATTTGTTTGTGCTCAATTTTGATTTTTCGCTGTTTGGCTTGTGATTTCTTTTTAAGTTCAATGCATTTCCATTGTTAAACTAAGACAAACTCCACTATCCAACAGCAAAAGTGTAAAGGTCACGAACTTCCAGTTTCGAAAACGGAAACTAATTATCAGATTTCCCAGCGAAATAAAAGTTTTGCCCATTGATCAGTTTGCTCAAATTGGGTTCATTTTAACAAAAAAAGTGTCCATCATAAATTTTTCTAAAAGTTCAAACAGCTCTAAAGCCATTTTTTTTTGAAATTGAAAAAATTTTTTTTCAGTTTCCTTGCGTTCATTACTCTTTTCCAACTGTCAGTTGGCTATGTTTCCAAAAAGATTTTTGAAGCCTTTTTTCGATTTAGCTATTACCCGTCATTTAATGTTCGCCAAATTGGTGCGACGCTCTTCTTCGCCTCTGTGTGTTAATTTAGCATCTGACTGTAGCTAAAATCTTTTTTTATGTAATCTATTGCAACAAAATTAGGATATCCCCCTCCCCCTTTTGCAGAAAGGGGCAGGGGGTTCGCTACTAGTTACAAAGTTTTCACATTCTTAACCGTTAATTTATTTATAGTGGGAAGAGGGAGGGTGATTCGTTACTAGGAACCCGAGGGGGAAATAGTTATAGAGATCCAAAAATTAGTATCCTTTCGAGATCTCTTTCTTTTGATACAAGGATAGCATGTTGCTGTGCAAAAAGCACAGAATGTTCCGACCACATTCTCAGGTTTTTTCAAGTTAGTGTCGTTTCTTGTACGTCGTTTGATTCTAGAGCTATAAAAACGCGTAGAAATTTAGTGAATTAGTCATACACAACTACAATTGTCTTCAAAAGTTAAACAAAAAGATTTTAAAAAATGTCGAAAGTTTTTTCGAAAGTCTTTTTGTGCATCCTAAACTATATTTTTTAGTAAAATTGTCAATTTTTAGCTTAATTTGGTAATTTTCATACAAAACGAACGTTACTCGATCGCTTTACTCACTTGAAAATTGACTAAAAATCATAATTTTTAAACCGGTATTTCGCGACTCTGAGAATGTTTGTTGAAAATTTTTCAATGTCGTTTGAGTCGCAGCTGAAAGGGGCTTTAATATGATTTATCGCTCAATCCAGTTAGAAGATATTTGTCGTTCCTGATTTGGCGTGAAAAAAAAAACAAAAAAATATACTGAAACACTTGAATACAAGGTTCCTCTCCATTTTCAATGGTAGGAACAACCAGGTCCAAGTAGCATGGATTTTTTCGACCACTTTGATTTTAAAATAGAAATTCAAAGTTCTATAAATTTGTTCTCAATTTTTCAAATCATTTTTAGGCCAAGTTTTCTGTTTCGTTTATGCTCCTGGATATTAACAGAGACTATTATATTACAAATAGCACTTTAGCTTCATGGATATGTAGCGTAGAGGTAGGGAAGGAGACCAGCAACAAAATAAGAGGGTTCGAACCTGGGCAAGAGGGTTCGAGTCGTCGGATGTTTTTAATGAACTTTTTCGTATACTAGCTAAAATGCGTCCGCTCTATAAATTGAGGCATGTTAGTTGGTAAATTTCTTCTTTCAAATTGACTAATGCGTGATAATTTGCTTGCGTCACTTGGCAATTATGTAGACTCGTAATTGGCGTGCGTCATTTGAGAAATTTTGTAGACTCAAAGTTTTACTCATTCAGTTTTTCCCAGTAGTGTTATCGGTCATATTTTTGCTTGTGTATACGAAGTGCAACTTCGCCTCTGTTAAGGAAGGCGACTGAATTAGATAAAAATATCAAGAATGCTAGAATGAAGGATTGATAGCTAAAAGTTGTAGGGTAGCTTCTATTCAAATTATCTATCAGATCAGTTTTTCTCGTCACAGGCAACTTTGATTTTTTGAAAATCAGAAGCACGACTGAAAGGGCTTTATTTTAGTATCATATTTCCATCCAGGGTGAAGTATCACAAGCCAGATGGTTTGCAGTGCTCGATCCTGTTGAAGCCTTTCAGGCGTGCTTTCAGCTGCAATGAAAAAAAATTTATGTCTGATTTTGTTTGTTGGTTTTCTCGAATTTTGGGGGCTTGGAGCACCATTAGATACCCTGCCATGGCAATGATAACATATAAAGACGAGCTCTTACTTGGCCTCTAGCTCCTGGTCTACCACAGCCTGAACGCTTTTGGTTTCAATAGTGGTACAGTTCTCGACATAAAAAATCGGCCTTGAGTTGCAAAAAAGAGCTCTGCTAAAAAAAACTCAGTATGGACATAATAGGGAAATAATAGAAATGGGCGATCATTGAACGGGCTTTGATAGATCTTTTGCGGTTTGTTGAAACGAAATGAGTAATTTAAGGCACACACTACATCCGCGGGAAGAACAACAGTCGTCAGCCGTGGAGTTCCAGGAAAAACAGAGACCAATACTGTCTCCTTCCCCACAACCCAACAGAAGAGGGCCTAGCCAGTCTGCACACAGTGCTGATGCGAGCAGAGCCCCTCCTGTTTAGAAATGCACTGTTGTATTATGCAATCGTAATGGGTGCTACGCTATCTTTTAAAGATCTTTTTAAGAAGCTAGCAGAGTATGTGTTGGATCCGGAAAGAAGATGGGACTACTGCGTCAGAGCTAAGAGAGGACAGATGGACACATCAATACCTGGTGAGTATAGTTCTTTGAGAGATTATATAATGCTTTCGAAATCTATGCTTTTAGGAAATGTAATCAATGTAATTTACTTCTTAAATGATATAATACGTAAGATATAAATAAGAATATAATAAGAAGACGTATATTGCACAGGTTGCTTCACCAAAGACCAAGTGTACCTAACTGGATCTCTGAACATCTTGAGGAACCGCAAGAGGATAGACTTCGAGGCACTGATGAGGTGTGGCAAGGTGGCCTGGGAGGATGTCGATAGAGTAAAAGGCGTAGCAGATTACGAACACACGCGCATTCCATCATTCATGACAAACATGCCGTTTTACAGGTACGATGGAACGCTTGTTTGTAATAACTGAATTTGTATTTTTTAATGCAATAAATGCTGGAAAATATCATCATCCTTCCAGGTAAATCATTCAATTGCTAATTGATTGATTTGGAGCACAAAGTATTTCAAAATAAGTATTTCAATCTCAACAACAGGATGGCTAAATTGTTCGAAAGATTCATAGCAGTAGTTTTACTAGTATATTTTTGGTTCCTCCGATGATTTTCAAATCACTTATGGTTTATAATAGACGCTGGTATATGCAGACCAAAAAAACGAACGTGCTTCACCGCTTCCAAGTTAGTGGAACCAAGGTGGAATCATGAAACTTTATATTTTTCCACTGCTCGCTAGAGACGCTTTTTAAGTTTTTAAATGACAGTTTTTGTTCACGAAGGAAGTTTCAATTAAATAGTTCATTTAGGTCAAGACTGGATTTCATCCTGAAAACAAACGGACTTCGAGATGCGGACTTCAAACACCTCAAGTCATCATCTTCTAAAATGGGTGATCTAAATGACAGGGTAGACGAGTGCAGATTCGATATATAACTGTAAAAGAATGAACGAATAGTTACATAGTTATCTACCTCAACTGTTTTGTTTTTATTTTGTATTTGTATTTAGTTTTCAAAAATTAGCATATTTTCTGAAAGCCTTTTGTTTGAAATGTGTTTCTAAGTTTAACGCCCCTCATGAAAGTCTTAGAAAAATTCTTCATAAAAGTCAATTCCGAAAAATTATGTTCGATTTTAATGAACAGCCTGAGGATTAGCGCAAAAAGTTAGTAAGCTTTTTTCATGAACCTGCTTTGAAATTTGCTTGGATTTCTTAAACTGGCTTTTTAATTAATATTTACAATTACTTGATGTGTTTACTAATTAATGAACGCAGGACAGTTACATGTGGTATTTTTTTTCAGGCGCAATTTGGGTTTTCGCGGTTTTCTTTAAATCAGTTAAATGAAAGGCAAGCTGCACAATCGAAAGGCAAAAGTGTAAAGGTCATGAGGGAAGTGATCGCCATCTAGTTTCGAAAGCGAAGTTTGATTTTCCAACGAAAGAAATCCCTATTGATCCAGTTTTTCTCACTCAAATTAAATTAATTCTATCAAACAAATATCAATGAGTTTTTTTTGAAGTTTGGATATATACATTTTTTCAGAGTCGATGACCGTAGTTCAGAATTTTGTGAAGGACTTCATGATTTTTTTTTAATTTCCCAGAAAAATCCTCAAATGTTTTACAGAAGAGCTTTCATACATATCAAAGATTTTATTACTGATTCTAGGTATATGTGCACCATTTGAGTTCAATTCAATTTCATCTGCTGAAAGTTAAGAGAGTTGCGCTCTCCGATTACGAAAGTTTTAAGGTAACGAAGCTTGATATTCTTCAAAAAAATAAACGGTATTGTTTTGTTTCCTGGCGTTCCTTGACAGTATTCCAACATTCTATTGATTAGGTTAAAACATACAATCTATTTGGTTATATAACTTATTCTTGATCAGGTTAAACCATACAACCTGTTAAACCAGTGAACAAATTTGACTGTTTTTGTGCATATCCAGACAATTTTGAGCTCTTTTTCGGCTCATTTACTGCGGGAACCTTAGCAGAATTTTCTTCTTTTTGAGCCTAAAATGTTCTGGCGGAACTATGGATTAGCAATGGCTTTTTCGTCTTTTTTAGAAAACTCAAGGATATGTTTGGTATTTACGTAAAGTAACATAAAGAAGCCCTCTCAGCCCTAATTCGATTTCTGACATAAAATCGAAAAGTACGTCACGGCTTCAAAAAAAAACTTATTTAAAAGCTGGTCGGACTTATTTAAAATAATTAACGGAGTGAAGACCCTTATACAGGTCATGCTGATTTTTTTTTTCAGGAAAAAGTCTTAAAATGTGCATAAAAGTCTCTAATAACTACAGCTGTGCATTCATACATGTTGATGTATTTGTGAATGCACTTAGGTATATATGCACTTTTTGAAATCAATTAAAATTCATCTGCTGAAAGTGACGTAAGTATCTTTCTCCAACACGAACGTTAAAATGGCGCGAAAAAAGGTGAAACCTTTCTAGTTTCGAAAGTCGAGTTTAATTTTTAAGATTTCCAGCGGAATATAAACTTTACCTGTTGATCCAGTTTTTTCAAGTTGGGTTAATGTTATCAAAAAAGCGCCAGTCATAAATATTTTTAGAAATTTGAAGAGCTTAAAGTGCATCTATTTTTTTTCTTTGAAAATCGAAAGTTGAGGTTTTTTCAAGAAAATCAGTTTTTTTTCAACCAAGTGTTTTTTGTTTATTTGCGTTTGTCTTTTCCAATCTTCGATTGGCTATATTTCGTTTTTCAGCCAACTTGAAACAAAATTTACGAATGAGATTGCAATCTGAGTTCATTTTTGATGCAATTTTCTATTGAATTTGCCATTTATAATTTTTCATGTTGCATTTTTTGATCTGAAACAACAGTAAATTTTAAAAAATGTTAATTTTTTTCATTTCAGTATTTTTAAATTCTTACATAATGTGTGGTGGCTGGAACATTCTGTGCAATATGAACACTAACCCGTTATGGTTGTTCACTTTATCCAAGGGATTAACCTGAAAATTGGAATTTGAGATAGTTAATCATTAATTAAACATTGTTGCATCAGAAGATATAACTCTTTATACAAGCAAGCCACCTAGGGTAGTGATAAAAATGAATAGTTTCTACCGAAACTTGACTTCAGTATCTGGTGGTAAAAATGGTGAAAGAAATGTTTGTCCGGAAAAAAGTGAATTGGTTGAAGTTTAAGAATTGCTCGTTTTGTTTGATTGTAATGAAAACAGGCGTGTGGAGGAAAACCTTTAATAAAAGCAAATTTGCTCTCAATAACTGACAAAGTTTGATATTTTAAAGAGCAGTTTTCTTAATCGAAATTTTTGGTTAATTTGAACCACCAGAGTCTGAAAACAGAACTTAAGTAGCTCTCGGCCATTTTATTATTTTTTCAATTACTGAAAGATTGTCCTCGGATTTTTTATCTGCGGTTATTTTTCCTTTTTGCTATTTGAAATTGTTATTTGCCAAAGTACCGAGTATATGCTTCTTTTTATGAAGCGTAGGCGGCAACATAATACGACTCGGAAACTATTTTTTCATTGAAATGAGGCAGGCTATTTTGTCTAACTAATACGCCACTTCATGCGTAATATACTACTGTGCACTAAACAAAGTTAAGGGGTGTTTTTTTTTATTTTTCAACTTTCCATGTTTAAAGCAAAAACTTTTTCAGACGTTAAAGTGCAGTCGGGTCTTTCAAGGCTTGACCGTGATACGAGCAGTGTCCTGTTTAAACGGTAGCCAGTGGCGGAAAAAAAGCAATGGCGTTTCAATAAAGCTGTTTCTTCTATTATATAAGAGAATGAATTTAGTATACTTATCAAATTTTTTCAAAAAAAAAAATTAGCTTGAAATAGTGCGCATTTGGTGGCACTTTTACTGCATAGCATTAACAATTGATAAAAAATGTTCAATACTCTTTATTGGTGGCTAATGTTTTTCAATTTCCTACACACATGGTGGAAATACGAGGTCGTGTGACTCTAAGTATCTAGTTTGGTGGTTCGATCCCGCTAGATGACTAGATTTCAAAGTTTAAATTTGCTTTTTTTCCCTTCTTTTTAAGTCCTTTTTTGCCATTCTGTCGCTTGTGATTGCGAAGTGCAGCTTCAGCTCTGTGTATTATTTTTTTTCCACATCTCTTCAATAAACAATGACTTCAATAATATGTTGTCGTAGCTGGAGCTTTACACGTTTGGAAATTTGTTCTCGAAATCCACCGATGAGCTGTCCAAGCTACCAAATTTTGGGTCTGTTGAATTTCTGTTTTTTTAATTATAAATCATACTCGGGTGACAATGTGATTATAGCTGAACATATTTCTGTACTTGCAAATTCAGCTATTTTTGACAATTATTGGCAGGTTCAACTTAAATAGCTGGATCGTTTTTTGTTTTACTGCGTACTTATAATTTTTTTTAAATGTTTTTGTGCATTATGAGGCCAAACTGTGCACTGGATAGGCGCACAATTTTTGTGTCTGTGTGTTCCTTGATTCCAGAAACAAGTCTTTAAACATGTTCCAAAATGTAAGTCGAAACCATTTACTAGATTCCGTGGATTCCGCGTACAAATAGCTGTAACGTAATTTTTGGCAAGTTAATTTTGTTGCAGATTCAGAAACGAGCGAATATAGGTAATCGCTCTGGATTCCGTTAATATAAGCCGCTTCGGAAATTTTGAATCGATTCCGCAAATTTATACGGATTCCGCTGACAATTTGCGGTTTCCGCTTACAACTTGCAGATTCCACTCACAGTTGTGGATTCCACGACAGCTGAAATTTACTAACACACATTATTCTTTGTTAACGGATTTCAGAAATTGTTCCGGATTCCGCAAATTTTGTTGTGGATTCCAGGAAGTTGCCTGTTTACAGCATGTTAGTGTATATATACCGTTAAGGTTTCGGCTCTACGGGACAAGGGGAGCTCCCTTCTAAAAGTAGCTACTTCATCCTAAGCCTCTAAAAGTCCCATCTATATCCTCTTTCAATCTTGGTGTTTTAGCTGTCATGGGAACACAGTTTGTATCCTACTCATCGTTTTGCGTCAAAAAACCAACTCCGGGGAGCTTATTATATAGTCTGTACACATATATTACTCAGGAATCTTAACTATTCTTTCAAATGAGTTTTAATGCGAGTCCTCTCTGGGACTAATTTTTTCTTGTGTGTCTGAAATTCTGATGATAAATTGTTTGACTCAAAAATTTGTCAAGCTTTACTTATTGAATTCACTAATTCGATACAATAACGAAAAAAAATGTATACTTTAACCTTTGATTGATTCTCCGATGGATAAGTTTCATTTCAGTTAGAAAATTAGAAATTGACCGAAGCCATAGTTCAATTTTTTCGGGGTGATATTTAGGGCCTGTTGTTGCCATAAAAACAGTATTCTCGCTCATTATTTTTTGCAAAATCAATTTTTCGGTCATGGGTGGGGACTTTTTACTTGGGGCACAACACCGGAAGTAAGGGTACAGTGGTTCTATGGTTCTAAGCTTGCACCTCCCTCATCAAAGTCAGTAAGCTACTAATTTTAGGTCCCATTCACATAGCTAGTTACTGAGTTCTACTAGGGTGATTAGCACTTCGGAGAACGAACCGTTATCACGTTGGCAAGGTGGGTTTGAGAGTACCGTGCTTTTGCAGTTTCTAGCCTATGAATTTCATGAAGTTAGTATTGTTAGTTCCCATAAAAGAGGAAGGGTTCCCATTTGGAAGGAGGGGTAACTGATTTTACTTCACTTGGGTATTCTGCCATAGACGGCGCTAATTTTTTGATATCAAACTTTTTTGAGCCCGACCTTTTGTTTGCTGCACTGCTTACTTTATAGCTTATTGGTTAATCGTTAAAGCTAAGTAAGTAGTTAAAGCTTAAATAAAAGGCTATAAACAGTAGATAAGCAATTTCTACAATTACTCAATGAAGAAAAAACAAGTTTGGTTTCTGCTTATTTTTTAATTCTAACTTTGCATAGGTTAATTATATTTGAATGCTTCTTCAAGCAATCATTTCAAGCAGAAATATACGGATCTTGT